CTCGATCTACCAAGGAGAAAACAATGATAATTCTCTCTTGATAAAAAAGAAAACAACTCTCAAGAAACTCTCTAAATTCTCTCTAGTATTGGAATAAAGCTAGAATGCTTTGGGATGCTTTTGAAACTAAATGAGCTAGGGTATTTATAGTTGAAGCTTTAAGGACTAATTTGTAAATACTCTAAATTACAATGGCCAAAATTAAGGTTCTACCATTTCCAAAATTCAGCAATAGTTGCTACCCTTTTTTTTTCAAGCAGCACCGAAAGTTGCATTTATTATGCACACTTTCGGTGCATAATCAACGCCTAATAAGCACCAATAGTAAATTCGTAGTTATAATATAACTAAATCATGGATTTTAGCAATAACTATCGTTTGCATGTATATTTTTCGGTTCCACTTAATTAAAGCTGATGAACATGAAGATTTGTCTTAAACAAGGAACAAGCACTGTAATCTGTGACGATCTAGCTCAAATTGTACAAAGAACATCATTAAAAATAACATTTTAAGCTTTAATAGGGCAACCATTCAGGATATCAGAGACACAATCCACGTAGGACGTAGCTCTGATCCTGAAAGAGTTGCCCAAGAGCATTTTGTTTAGAATTGATATAAATTAATAATTCAAATACTTATCTCTTGTTATTTTTATTTTAACTCGACGTGTTATAAATTAATAAGATCATTGTAAATAAAATTATTAGATGTAACAGAGTCATATTAACATAACATTTACATTTAAAATTATGGTAAAATATACAATTGATCACTAATTTATGTTCTTGTTAGTCACTAAAATTTTAGAAATTATAAAAATAGTTATTAAACTTATCGAACTATTACAAAATAGTCACTGCATATTATAAAATATTAATATATTATGATAAGTTTAAGGATTATTTCATAATAGTTTAATAAGTTTAATGTCTATTTTGTAATAATTTAATACTGCTTATTGATTATTCTGTAATACTTAAGAAGTTTAATTATTATTTTGTAACGTACTGAAACTTTAATTACTAAAAAGATCATTTTAATAACAACAGAGATTGGTTCAAGTGGTAAGCAGATTGATACCGCTTAAACAAGATCTTGAGTTTAAGTTCTTGTATATGCAAAAAATCCCTGTTGGAAGACTCACCCACTAAAAATATATGTGTAACACGGGTCGATCTGGATTAATCAATGTGAAATCTTAAAACCATGACATCAATAAAAAAATCATTTTAATAAAATTTAATAATTTATATGTTTTTGTATTTAATTTTTTTCTTGAATAATATGTAATGCCTATAAGATAATATATGTTCATAACATCAATAATGTGTCGAGAACAAACACACTCGTTCTTAACCTATTAATAACAGATGCACTAAAACCACTTGAATATGACTAATTATATTTCCACTAGTCCTCGCTTTGTAACCTAATATCAGTAATCTACATCACCCCTAAAACAACATTGATCTTCTCAAAATTTTCAACTTCATCTTTAATTTTTTTATACACAATAGTTCTTAAATTTGACAACTTTTTTCCTTTTAGTTTCTTGTTATTATGTCTTTGGACACATCTTTCGAATGTCACCAGGGATGGATCAAATGATGTAAACTGAGGGTAATTTTTTTATGAAAATTTTAAATTATTATATTTTAGATATTTTTTATTTTCTTTTAATAATTTATTTTCGTCTTTTTAGAATTTTATAAGTCCATTCTCTCTTAAAATTTTAAAACTCTTTATTTAATATAAAACTTTGTGTCGTCCCTAAATGTCACATTATTAAAATGATTAAAATAACTCAAAAATATTAATTCATGGTCTAACCTAGACAAAAAATCAGAAACCAAATTTTTAAAAAATATATTAAAATTCAAGATTAATTATTTAAAAATAGATGGACCAAACTTAAAGTTTGGCATGATAAAGGAACTAAAATCACAGTTAGACCCTTTGTCTTACAAACTAGAATCAGTAATAGTGATCTTTAAATGAAGTGAGGAAGTATCATAAAGATGCCCTTGACCATTGGCGTGAACAACAAACCTGGAATCTGTGGCGAGCAAAACCTGTAATGATTCTGAAATCAACATGAAAAGAATTTGATGCTTGAGATTCTAAGAAATGCAAGCCTATGTTTTTTCAAACTTAAAAACCACCATTCCATCCACGATGATATTTTCTTTGTCCCATTAATAAACCCTCTTCTCTTTAATCCCACCCTTTAATGGCGTCGTCCAGGACCATGATCTCCATTTTCAAGCATTTCACGAGAACAATCCCATATCTTCAATGGCGATCCAGAACCCACATTTTCTACATCCTCTTGCTCCTCCTCTCACTCTTCTTCTTCCTCTCAACTACTTCCTTCAACCACCGTTCCCCGTTAGCCTTGGCCTTGGCAACCCGCCTTCGATTCGCCGCCAACTACCTCGCTTCCTTCGCGTCCATTTCCTCGTCCAACACCTGCATCGTCTCCGACGTCAGAACCAACTGCACCCTCTCCTCCGTCACCGCTGTCGAAATAACCGACAACGTGATCAAAGACCTTAGTTCTTGCGATATCTTTAATGGCGACTGGGTCTTGGACGATTCCACCACCCCTGCTTACATTCCTGGCTCTTGCCCTTACGTCGATGATTCCTTTAACTGCTTCAAGAACGGCCGGATCGATTTCAGTTACGTTAGATACCGGTGGAAGCCCTTCGATTGTCTGATTCCGAGGTAAATATTTTATAGAAAAAATAGTTGAAAATCGTTTTACACCACTTTGTCTTTTACATGGTTGTCGAAATGCGTGTACAGGTTCAATGGGAGGAAATGTTGGAGATGTTGAGGGAAAGAGACTGGTTTTCGTGGGAGATTCTTTGACTATGAACATGTGGGAATCACTGGTGTGCTTGTTGAGAGAATCGTTGAGGGATAAGCGACGTCTCTTTGAAGTTTCCAGCAGGAACGAGTTCAGGACTCGGGGGTTCTTTTCTCTCAGATTCTCAGTGAGTCAAGTATCCATCTAACTATTTGTTTTTTTTTTCCTGGTTTTATGAGCATTTTAGATATTCGAAACTCGTACTTGAATCCGAAACTCATAGTTGAATTTGAATAACTTGTTTAGATATCTGAAACTCATACTTGAATGAATCCGAATAACGTGTTTAGATATTCGAAAGTCATTTGAATCCGATTAACATGTTTAGATATAAATGAGATGGTTAAATGATTTATAGGATTACGAGTGCACAATAGACTTCATCAAATCACCATTCCTAGTCCAAGAATGGACAATCTCTGATAACAGTGAGATCAGAAGAGAAACACTGAGGCTTGACATGATTCAGGGTTCCAAGTACAGTGATGCTGATATAATAGTCTTCAACACTGGCCATTGGTGGACTCACCAAAAAACTGGCAAAGGGTAAAGATTCTGCTCTGCCATTTTTCTACTTGTTTTCCCATCAGTTTCTGATATTTACCATAAAGTTTACCATGAACAAATGGTGTTTTAAATTTGCAGCAAAAATTACTTCCAGGAGGGCAGCCATGTCTATGACAGATTGGAAGTAAAAGAAGCATTTACAAAGGCATTGAAAACATGGGCACAATGGGTTGATTCCAACATTGATAGAAAACACACCAGGGTCTTCTTTGCAGGGTACTCCTCATCTCCTTTCAGGTAAAAGTAATAAGGCCATAGTTCTAACCTATGTTAACTCGGACTTTGATGCGAGTATCGATATGGATATGTTGATTGTTATTTTCAGGAAAGGACAGTGGGATACAGGTGGGAACTGCCATGGTGAAACAGAGCCAATATCGAATGAAACAAGCCTTGCACCGTATCCATGGATGATGAGCATCCTGGAATCCGTGATATCGGAAATGAAAACCTGTATTTTATCTCAACATCACCAAGATGACGGCTTACAGAAAATATGGTCATCCTTTGATTTATCGGCCGCTAGAGATCCCGAGGACTCCGAGCATGTTCCAGGATTGCAGTCATTGGTGCCTCCCTGGTGTCCCAGACTTTTGGAATGAACTTCTCTATGCTGCACTGCTAACATCATTTCATTCTCAGTTCTGATAGTCTCAAGTTCTAATGTGGTTGCTTTTGCTTGTGTGTCAAACCATTGGACTACATAGATTGTTGTATGCTTTTAGTTTCCTCGTGTACAGGCAACGCTATGTTTTTGGTCCCCAAAATTTTTTTACCAAAAATCCAACATTTTAGCATGTCATATATCAATTTTCGTTAATCCATTATTGTGATGCATTATTTCAAAATTATTGAATCTATCATATTGTAGGCCAACAAATAATCAACCACCGAAATGATTATTGACAGTTTTGATTGTGGTCTCTCTTTGATCTATGCTTATATTCACATATTTTCGGCTGGGTAATTTTCAATTTTTAATGTTATTAATAATTTTTATCAGCAACGGTTAACAGTGTTATCAATTATACTACTGATTACACTATAAAAAGGATAAATATATATTTTTGTACTTTAATTTGACTTCATGGTTCAGTTGGTACCTAATATTTTTTATCCAATTGCTTGCTTGGACTTTATTTCTTGATTAAAGTAATACTTATTGTAAATGATTTCTGTCAAGCAATTTAAATCATAATGCAAGTTTATGTACCAATTTGAACTAAAAAGTCAAATTCAGATATCTAATTGAACCAAAAAATATTTGGGGTACCGAATTGAACTTTAAAGTCAAATTCAGTTATGAAAACGTAATTACCCTTATAAAAATAGAGGAGTAAATTATATCAAGCTAAAGGATAGGGATTTCATTCATATTTTGGCATAGTAGAGGGCCTGATATCAAGCTTATATGAAAATAATTTAATAACTAAAGGATGGCGTAATATGGCATGAAATGCCCTCAACTGATTGGCTTTCCTTGGATAGGAAAATCTATAGTCATAGTAACGGGAGTACACAATAAAAGCTTTACCTTTACTCGCCATATCGAGATAAAATCAAAGAAAGCTCCATTCTTCCGGAAACGACAGGGTATCCTTCGTTTTTCAATTTCTTAGCTCGCACGCTCGAACTATTTGATATCCGATCGGACAGAGGAAAAAAAGCAATTCATCGGCGAAGGGAGAAGAGTTATTGTAAATCGAGGAAGAAAATGAAGATCGACGTGAATGCGATGGCTCGTAGAGTAGAAGTTGATAATCGAATTCCTCTCCGTTATTATTATCGAATCGCCGATAGTCTCCTCAAACAGGTTCTCTATGCTAATTCTTTGCCTAATCGTACTCTTTTCTTAATAATCACGATGTTATGATTCGTTTAAGGTTTGATTTTAGCTTAATCTCGGTTTTAATCATTCTTTTATTTTTTCTAAGTTTTAATTGCTAATAATTCCTTAGTTTTTATAATTAAATTTGTTATTCATCCTAATTAATTAGTTTTTGTACTTAAATTTGCTATTCATCCTAATTAATTAGCGTGCTATTTGAAAATGTTAGTGATTTAAGTTCTAAGTAGCTTCGTTTGTAGCATTGCTTGCGAAGTCTTTGTCTATTTCTGTTAAGCTAGTAGTTGCTAATGAGTTAATTGTTTTAGTACCCCAATTAACTCATTTAACCTAAATTAAATTGTCTTCATATTTGAAAAATGTTATTGATTTAAGGACGAAGCTATTCTTTCTGTTAGCTAGAAATTTATGTATGATTACAAGTGCTTAATGTGTTCTTTTATTTTCAGGCAGAAATTTATAGAGGGGAAAAAAATATAGTGGATTTGTACATAATTCTACTTAGATATTCAAGGTGAGGGAAGCTTACTACAGATTGAGTTCGTCATAAATTAATCCGTTTAAGCTTATTTATGAACATACATTTTGATCAGTTTGGTGTCAGAAACAATACCATACCATCGAGATTACCAGGTTTTGCTTCCGAAAGAAAAGGCTGTGTATAGGAAGGTGAGGTTTAATTGTTTTACGGGACCTCTGTGATGTGAGCCCATTCATATGGTATTTGATGATATTTTGCTTCTATTGTTTCTCATTTGCAGAGACTTTTAGCTGTACTTGACGAGCTTGAAACTTTGAAACCAGAGGTTCAAAGGAGAATTGAAGAACTAAACAAAAGTCGAACAGGGGCAAGATTGGTCAACCTTGATGACCAGGAAGGCTCTTTCTGTGGCTCAGATATGATGTCTTCTTTGGATTGGAACCCGGTAAATAAAGGGTCTAATATGAGCTTGGATATTAAGCAGGTACAGAATCACTATAATCGGTGGATGCAGTGTGATTCAATTATGTAATTATTAATATCTCCTTTCCCTGTTTCTATATCTATGGTTGTCCATTTTTTTCCTTATTTTTTGCTTGCGTTTTTAATAGAATTCCAATATTTTAGCTCAGTTTCCCCCTTTTATATGGACGCAGCCTGCCAGAGTGGCAGTTCAATCTTCCTGGAAGTATAACAATAATCATAATCAGATTGACAGGCAATTCCAGAAGTTGTAAGTTTCTTTTGCTATTTTTAATGGTACATTTGTATTTGGATCTTGAAACCTCTGAAGTCTCATCTTTCCAATCTGAAATACGCTGTTGTATTGGTGGGATCCATTAAATTTCGGTAAAAATTCACAGTTGTATTGGTGGGATCCAATAAAATTCAACTCCATACTATTAGCTGGTCTCTGGGGAGCGGAATTAATTGATGTTAAAAGCATGGCCATCCATAAAATTCACTTGTTTGTTACTTCTTCTTTAGAGCATCGCCCTGATTTCTTTTGGCCTTTGCTTTGCTCAGTGTCATATTTGTTTGTGTTTGTCCATCTAGGCCCTTATTAGAACTTAGATGGTTGTATTAATAGGAATTAGTTCAAAACTTTTACTTTGAGGCTGACATGGCATGTATCAATTTTCCTGGGTTTGCTTCAGGTCTCTTAATATACCTCATCCCAATAAAGAAACTCTATCTAGACACTCATTTCTAGGCCCTAACGGCCTTCGTCGCCAGTGGCTTGGACCAAATGCAGAGATAAAGGTTAATCTCTATCTGCTTTATCTCCCTCCAATCTTCTTTATGTACTCATACATAATCTCTTTTTGCATGCAAACTGCAAGATCTGCATCGAATCGTTGATTCTGCTTTATAATTCAGGTTCAATATCCAAGCCATAAGGACTTGGAACCTGCTGAAAATTCAGGGTAGGACTTCCAAAATGTCTAATCATTCTTCTTTAGGCTTACATGCATATTTTTGTCTTACCCTTATCATATCCTTTTACCTTAGATATTCTGTAAATATTAAAAGATTTAAATATCTGCTGAGAGTTCTAGTTTGTGTTGCTCCAATGATGCTGCTTTAACATTTTTCTATTTTGTGTTACAATTCTTTACAGCCTGAATCAGGCTGGACAGCATGAATCTTCGGTTGTAAAAGATGGCGAACCAGGAGGGGTTGTCTCTGCTATGGACTCGGTTCTCACGTTGGATGATGGTCGATGGTTACATCCTACTGAAGAGTCACGTCCTTTGACTATTGAAGCAATAGAGGATCCTTTCAAGTTTGTTGGTATGAAACAACCTTCTCCTCCTCCTGTGCTTGCTCAAGTACAGCCGGAATTTACACCAATTCATCCATCAAAAGTTGCTGACCCAAGACCTGGTCCTGCAAAGTCTTCTCAAGATGGATTGCCAAACTCTAACTCATATCAACATCTACATGTTGTATGTCTCCTATATCAATCATTCTTCTTCCCTGTTACTTGGTGGAATGATCAGATTTGGGCCTTCTATGTTGGTTATTGTTCCAATTTTGTTTACTTATTATGCAGCCAGTACAAATGATGGAGGATTTCTTGCGATTGGCTCGGGCAAATACAGAAAAGAATTTGGAAACATGTGGTGTTTTAGCTGGATCATTGGTGAGAAAACTATATTTTTTGAAGTTGATAAGTGTTTTTTTAAAGATAATTAGGAAGCTGGGGATTCAAAGTTGCTGCAGGTGTTGTTTATACTTTTGATTTTTGTGGCCGCAGAAAAACAGGGTTTTCCACATTACCACTCTTATAATTCCAAAGCAGGAGTCAACTTCAGATTCGGTATGGTATATTATTCCTTTAATCTAATTATTTTGTGCTGAAAGAGTTAACAACTTCAATGTTTATTCTGGCTATATACTTTTATCCAAGTGCTTTTATTCTATCTCAATGATACATTTGTTTAATACAGTGTTCAACATTAAATGAAGAAGAGATTTTTGAAGTTCAAGATAAATTCTCTCTTTTTCCTCTGGGATGGATTCATGTAAGTTCACAAGTCTTGAATTTCCAATGTATAATATGATTACCTTTTCTTTCCTCTATATGCTCTTTTGTCAGTGATATATCTGGGTATTAGGTGAACAAAAGATAACAGATCTCTATTTTGTATTCTGTTTCAGAATATTATTATTATTGCTCTGGTACCATTGTATTATGCACATGCAAACACAGAGTAAACATGTTATATTTGAAGTCAAGTGGGAATTTGTGTGGTTTATAAAGCTTCCCTTGGTTGCTTGAACTCATGGTTAATATACACTTCTAGGTATAAGAAGGTTAGAGTATAATTGGTTTCCTCAAAGTGTGTTTGAAACTAATATCTAAAAGAAATGATTATCAAGAAGAAATTATATCTAAAAGAAACTGTTTTATCCTTTTGTTGGGCTTTGCACCAATGTAGGTGGTATCTTTTCAGTAGCATTTTGACTTCAACTTATAGTTTGGTGAAGTTCACACTTCTTTGGGGTCATTTGTTTCACTTATAGTCTTTCTATTCAATCTCATCTAATATTTCATTCTTCATCTAGATAGTCTCTAATGTGGTCCTGTAACACACGCCTTGCTTGAGTTGATCTTCTTCATGAAGCAGAGATTCATGTTTTGATTAGCCTATGTTTTTTACTGGAAACTTGCATGTTGCTATCTATAGGTAACTGTTTCAAATAAGTTAACATACTGTCCAATTCTTTGATTTTCAGACACACCCAACTCAGACTTGTTTCATGTCATCAGTTGATCTTCATACACATTACTCATATCAGGTAAAAGAAAAAAAATACTTGCTATATATCCCAGCTTATAGTATGATTCAGTCTTACAGCATGTATCATTCTTTTCCACTTACACCTCCAACATATGAATTACATATTATTCATTCCTCTGCATTTTTTTTCTTTTCCTTTTTGGTGGATTTGTTTAGATTATGCTACAAGAAGCAATTGCAATTGTTATGGCCCCAACTGACACGACCAGGTAGATTCTCATTTTCCTCCCAATAACCATGGCATTGAACGCAATGAAATATCACAAACTTCATATTGTTAAATGTAAATCTATCATGGCTAGACAGTTGTTTCCGACCATTTGTACTACCAGTTAACTTTAGTTAGTAATCTGGTACTCGTTTTCAAGCATTCATATTTTTTATTGTCATCTTTTAAGCAACATTTACAGTCAAGTGATGTAGAAAAGGACTACATGTACCAAATGCAAACGAAAATAAGATATATTTTTCTGTGCAAGAGATGTTTTACCTTGTGTATGCAGAAGCAAATTCTGTTGTAGATTTTCATTTTGTTTAGTGGCTGAATTGGTAAAGAATAGGATTATTCCCATGTCTTAAACAACTGATTTTTCTGCTCTGCTAAGGTTGTTGAAATGATTAGTAGAAGTAGGAAGGTACTTAAAGCGTACAAATAATGTTTGCAGGAGCCTCTTAGATAAAAAAGACAGTCCCTGTTATAGGCAGTTTTTTTTACAAGTTAACAATGTTCATATTCAATTGCAGCCCGCATGGTATCTTTCATCTGTCTGATCCAGGGGGTGTGTCCATTATTCGTAATTGTCAGCAACGAGGATTCCATCCCCATGAGGAGCCTTCAGATGGAACACCAATCTATGAGCATTGCTCTCATGTTTTTATGAATCCCAAGATAAAGTTTGATGTTGTTGATCTCCGGTGAGGTACGATTATGAAATGTCAACTCACCCATGTTGAAGTACCACCGGTAAATTTATCTGTGAAAGGAATCAGGTTTGCATACTAAATTACTATCTTGTAAATTCAACTGAAGAGAATCATCTTGCAAATAGAGGATGTTCATTTTTTCTTCAATCATATTGTAAGAATTACCTTTCCTCACTCAGTATTTCCCCCACTTTGTACTGTTTTGCAGAGGAGTATTTTAGTAACAGATGAACTACTTTGGCCCTTTTATTCTATATGTTTTGAGCATATCTAAATTGAAAAGAGACAGTGATATTGTGGATATTTTTTTAGAAGTTGCATTCAACATTAGATTAGCATGTCATTATATGTTAGTTAAACATGATTGATTGAATTTTAACGTGATTGACTATGTAATTGAATAATGATAATAAAAGAAAGCCGGGGACATTCTTGATGGACGATTTCGGGGTGTGTCGTTTCCAAGCCTCAGAGAAAGGGCACGAGGTCTCATGGAAGGGAGAATTCATGGGGCTTCCAGAGTGTATTATCTTGAAATCACAGTTTCTGAAAGGTGGAAGGTGAAGGTGCCTGATGTGCAATATTCATGGATCTGCAACTGGATTGCTGGTTGTTGAGCTAATAAATGGAGGCTTTAAAGGAAAGGAAAGAGAACACAGGCAGGGCAGGCTATAAACTTTACGTGATCGCGTTTAATTGCCCTCTCTCTAGTGTGTTTGGACCACCATCTCCCTCTCTCTCTAGTGTTGAGTAGACAAAAGGAACATTTCTGTTATTTCCTGCTGCCATTCTGCAAGTGGCAATAATATGAAAACAATATGATTTTGTCTTCAAAAACAGGCCTTTACAGTGTCCAAGTGAGCTACCTCACCAAGAACACGTCATTAAAAGAAACAATAAAGGGCAGTTGCCCAATAGTCCTCTACATGCGTTATCAGTGAACAAATGGTAGATTACATCCGACTCATTTAAGAGCCTGCTGTAGGATAATGTCTCATTCAATCATATTTAAGTTCACGTGTTGAAGCCCACCCCACAAACATCCACTTTTTAGGGTTTAACACTTCGAACCTCTCCCCCCCCCCCTCGCTTCTCAGGAATCATGGATGGAACCGCCTTCCTCCTCCATCACCTTTACTCTATACTAGGAGCACATATTCAAATAGCGTTTTCGGTGGCATCGCGTTTGTCGTTATTGCAGACAATAGCGATTGCGGATATTGTGGTCATATAATAACGGTCGTGGAGGATACCACTCTCGAAAATATCGCGGTCGCGGACAGCTATTTAACTCCCTACCAGGAACGACATTTCACTCAAACTCGGTGGATTCCAATCTGACATGATCTGGTCAAGTCAATTTTTATTTTTAAAAGTTGGATTCAGATCAACTTCGGGTTTATGGTGAAAAATATCCGACCTGACCCAACATAATATTATAATTATTATTTATAAATTTATGGATAATTACAATAATACATTTTCTATATTATTTTTTTCAACTAAACCCTTATTTTACCTAATAAATGAGTATATATTTAGGTCGTATCAAGTACAAGTTTTGGCATAAAATAGGGTCGAGTTTCAAGTTAGATAAATCCTCCTAAACTTAGATCGGGTTGAATTTAGGGGAGATTTAATTTTAGATCAAATTTGAGTGGATAAAAATTTGACCGATCCTACCCAACCCATAATGATCCCAACTTTATACCTAACAGTTAATTTATAACTAACATTTAATGGGTTAATTTATCACTTTATCTTATTGTTAAGTTGAGGTCTCATTTTAAATCTAGGTGTTCTGTGTATCACACTACTAGAAACAGCCTAATCGGCATCAATTCCAGAACCGAACCCCCATTTTTAAGGGTTAAGCAATTGTCAAACACAGCATGTGACCCAATTCAGTATTTTACTAATAATCAGTTAATTACATCCACACGTAGACTCCAAGTTATTCCATTTCTAACTTACGAACCATTCCAAAATTCTTATTATTTTCTATGATTTGGATTAAAAATTTCAGCCACTTATTCATTGAATTTGTTGACGATAATAGTTTTTTTTATTTCTCCATATAATTAAGTTTTTTTCTACCTTTCAACCCGAATCCACATATTTTAAGCAGCATTGAAGTCTCATTACTTAAAGCAGTAGGATGGGAGAGTGCATCATCTTCTCTTAATGTAATAGAAGCAGTGTAATTATCAAATTTTAATTTGGGGTTGTCCTATCCTTGTCAAAGTTGTCCATGACTTTGGATTTTTTGTTTTGGTTTGATACATAACTTAGTCCCCTAAATTTGATATTCTTTATTAAATTAGACTCCACACTTGATAAATTTTATCATTGACCCCTAATTTTTTTTTGGGTGAAATTGACCTTTGATCGTAGCAAGTTTATCAAATTGATATAGGGATGATAATTTGAATTCTGGATTCACATATTTGTGGATATCCTATATTCAAATTATTGTGAATTGAAATGTTAAAATTTCTATATTTTTAGGAATTTAGAGTGAATATATATAGACATACAAATATTTCTCAATCATATATAGAAACCAAAATTTTTAATTGAGAATTTTTTTCTCTAATATTGATGTGTCTTGTATCGTTTTCAGTTTATAATTAACTTTAAACTTATTATATGTATGTACACATGCAAATATTTCATAATTATATTTATAAAAATATATTACATGACATAAATTTTGGTATAGGGGCTCAAATTTTAAGGATAAATTATCTAAATAATCGCTAGATATTATAATTTTTAATTATATCCTAAACAATGAAAAATTATAAACAATTATTCAAATTAACGAAAAACTATAAGTTGATTTTTTTGGTTAAAAAAGTAAACCTAGGGTTTACTGTGATTTTTTTTTACATAATTTTTAAGTTTTACTTTATTAGGATTGTGAGTATTATTATGAGTTTTTCTTAAGGTTGATTGTAACAATAAGCCTAGAGTTTAATGGTTTTTGTTGTTGTTATGTAACATATTAATTACATTTATAATACATGATAAACAAAAAAACTTAAAATTATAAAACTTGAAAATGATGGTGTCGCAACCGTCTTTCGGTTGTGCCCCGGAATTGGGCTTCGACTTGAAATAATTGGGTTGGAGTCGCCACCGACCACTTTAAAACGAATTTAGGTGGGTCGGACACCATCTTACCTGATCTGCGTTGTACCAGAAACGTGTCGGGTTCGGGAGTCGATTACGGTCAAGGAAGGATTAGCACCCTTGAACCGTCCTTTCGGTACCAATTAATTTCCAGTTGTCTTTAATTGCGAAAAATTAAAATTTAAAAATTCGATTCGAGTTGCTTACCTTTGATCGGTTGAAATTCTTCTAAAAGAAGAAACAAAAATGTTAGAAAAAAAATATATTAAATGAATCGAAAAAATAATAACAAGTCAAAAGAAAGGGGAAAAAAATAAGTGAAAAATAAATAAGTCCAAGAGGATAGAAAAAATATGATAGATAAAATTAAAATTAGTAAAAGGGAAAGAAATGGTAAAGTTTAAAAGTAATAAATAATAAGAAAATGAAGGAACATACTAATAATAATAGCGATAAAATAAAATGAGACTTAGGGGGACCAAAAAAAATAAAAAAATAAAAAAAAAATGGAATTGACGGGCTAAATTGGTATTAAAATGGACTGCAAAAAAAGAGTAAAAAGTTAGGAGCCAAATCACAAATAAAAAAAAAGTGACCAAATTAATTGAATTGCAAATTCAGGGTCAAAATTACAAATGGTGACTAGATTGAAATGCGATTCAAACCATTAGGGACGGCGGAGAGAATTTAACAATCCCATAATTGCACAATGGCCCCTCGTAAAACGGCGCCGTTTCATCTGGTGCCAAAACGGCACCGTTTTGGTTCTAGCACTTAAATCCAAACGAGGCCCACTTCCTTTACTCTCTTCATTTTCTTCTTCATTCCAGAAAGAAAAGAAAAAAAGGGAGAGTTCAGAACTCTCTCCCCCCTCCCTCGTCGGAGAGAGGAAAAGGTGGCGGAGCCGCGACTACAAGCGGCGGCGTACAGAGGCGCCGGTGACCGGAACTAACCCAAACACAACTGATAGCCTCCTCTCGACCCCCCGATGTAGAATCTGGCCTCGAAACAGTGAAAACGACGCTAGATCGGAGTAGATCTAGCCTTGAAGGCCTCGATCCTTACCCTTTGGGGCGAGAAATCGTCGCCTTCCTGGTGGTTCTTCGATTTGCTTTGCTTTGCTTTGCCTCAGTTCTTTTACTTGCTTAGATTTTCTGCTGGGGCTTCGGCCTTTGAGTTTATATATTTGATATTTGCTTTGTTTTCTGTCCGATGTTGGGTACTGTTGATATCTCTCTGTAGTTGTGGGTTCTCGGTTCGTAGTGTGATGGTTGATGTTTACTGTGTTCGTCATGGGTCTTGATCCTCGGTTTTTTGTGGGACTTGATTTTGGTTTGCTTGTGGTTTGGTACTGGTTCGATCCCTAATGGGTTCTGTGTGTGCTGTTGATGATGTATTTTGGACCTCCCCCCGTCGTGGGTTCTGTCCATTTGGTATTTATAGGCCTTCATTGGCCGTTTTCCTGTTCCGAAATACGGGGCTGGTGGCCGTTGTGGGTTGACCGGCTAAAACGGGATGGGTCAGTCCCGATTTAGCCGGGGCTGGTTGCTTCGTGACCGGATTTTGGCCGGTTTTCTCGCCTGGCTGTGCGTGACTTGTTCCTCCCTCGTGCGGCGCAATGCTTGACCGAGTAAACCCTAACTTGTAGGGTTTGGGCTGGTTCAGGCCCCAAACATATTGGACCCGAACAGTGGACTTCTCATAGACCCAATCTTTGGACCTGGACCATAAACAGAATAATGAAATTAAATGAATAAAGTGAATAAAATGAAAAGAAATAATACTAATAATAATATAGACTATATAATATATATCCCAAAAAATATTTTTTAAACTATATATATATTTAAAAATGTTTTCAAAACTATATACCATATAGTTTTCAAAAATGATTTTAAAAATATTATATGAGTTTTCCAAATATTTTTAAAACTATATATTATATAAATTTTCAAAAATGTTTTTATTTTAAACTATACATTATATTTTCAAAATGATTTCAAAAATATATGTTATATAATTTTCAAAATGTTTT